ATCAAGTGCTTCATTGCCTTAATTGTCTATAGCCATTATTCAGACATTGGACAARTCTGAATAATGGCTATAGACATAGAAATTGAGTGAAGACTGAGGACGGCACTCCTTACTATATTTCTAATAGTAAAATATATCAACTGCTTATTTAAAATTTTTCCATGCACTGGATTCGATGTGCCTTTATGCACTGATCTATTCTCTGTGAAATGGTCGTTGGTTATAGTGTTGGGAGATGTTATTATTGTTTAGCACCACAGAAGAGACAAAGCTACAGCTCACCCTACACAAGCGGAGTCCTCCTCTGCCACAGGTCCTGCTGATGGGAGTGACTGTCCCCCTTTAGTCACTCACTCCCTCTTGTACTCATCTCTGGCAGCCTATCTTCATCCTTCTTCTTTCTCGTTAATAGCAGGACTGCCATTTCACTTATTACCTTCCTCATTGGTAAAGCATACCTTCAACAAATATGTTGGGTGTCAGGTATAATTCCTTCAGCAGCCTACCTTATTAAGAGTGATCTGTTCTGTAGATGTAAAACTAATGGTACATATATACACAGAATACTATGAGAAAACACTGGCTAATGTATGCTTGGAGAACTCTTTAATATTCCGATGCAAGTTGATAGTAAACAATTTTATTAGCACTGGGGAATGATATTGGACAAATTACAGTCTTATATTGTGTGCATGTATGAATATGTAACAATAAATCATACCATTAAGTACAACCATAATACACCAATAAAAATATGGAAAAGAATAAAATAATATATACTGTGATTGCCAGTGAAGGGAGGAATTATTTTTAGATATATGAATATGTTCAAGTTACCTGAAATGTTATTTTAAAAATCATGTCTTTAACCATAGTTGAGATTACTAAGAATCATACATTTTGTAGCATTTTATAGGTTACATTACTTTAGTGGCACAATCAAATTATTTATATTTTCGAAGTAAAAATAATTGGGAAAATGTCAAATCTGGAAATATTTTAAAAAGCAATAACATTATTCACAGTTAAGAATTTTTTTTAATTCCTCTGTCTGTATATAATTCTGTCCTTAATCTCTAGAATGCTAGAAAAGGAACACAGGTTTGGCCAATTCACCAAGTTCACTCCAATTTTTTCCCCTTTAACTAGGTCAGGAAAATATCCAAAGTCCCAAGAATGCTGTAAAACCACTCAGTTGCTCTGTTCAGGTCAACCTTGTATCAGGGCCCATCTCTCCTCCAACAGCATCGAGAAGTCCCCTCAATTCACACTTCCCTCTGTCTTTCCTTTCAGTCATACCTCTCCCCTGAGATCCTGGCTTTACCTTGCTGTTGCAGCTCAGATCATCACCAGTTCCCACTTGCTTTGGATCCTCATCTCTGAATGTACACCTAAACAGGCCTACCACCTCCCTGGATAAGGCCTATGAGTGGGATTCAAAAAGACATCTATGTGCCAAGGAATGAGGTTGGACCCTTACATCACATCATATATAATAATTAACTCAAAATGCATCAGAAACCAAAATGTAAACACTAAAAACATAAAACCCATAGAAGAAAACTCTTCGAAGTAAATCTTTATGACCTTGGATTAGGTAATGATTTATTAGAGATGACACAGGAAGCATAGACACACATACGCGCGCACACACACACACACAGAGAGAGAGATGAGACTTTACCAAAATCAAAAGCTTCTGAGTTTTTCAAAGGACACCATTCAGAATATCAAAAAACAATTCACAGAATGGGAAAATGGGAGAAAAAAATTGCTAACTATAGATGTGATAAAAGAATCATACTCAAAATATTTAAAGAGTTCTTCCAAATGAGCAATAAAAGACAACCCAATTTAAAAATGGGCAAAGAATCTGAATAGAGAAGAAGAGAGGCAAATGGCTAATTAAAATGGTACATGAAGAGATGCTCAATATCATTAGTCATTAGAAAAATGCAAATCCAAGCCATAACAAATTACCACATCAAACTCACTAGTATGGCTAAAATAAAAAAGATGGATGAAAGCAAATGGTACATAATAACAAAAAGTGGGAAAATTGTAATGCTTGTTGATTGTTGTTGGGATTGTAAAATGGTGCTGCTACGTTAGAAAACAGTTTGAAAGTTCCTCAAAAGGTTCAGTATAGAATTACCATATGTATACGTGAGGTAACTAGACACATTAGCTTACAAATGTTAATAAGAATACCATTCATAATAGTCAAAAAGTGGAGACAACTCAAATGTCCACAAACTTATGAGCATACAAACAAAATGTGGTGGAATGTTGTCTTAGTCAGCTTTCTTGTCACTGTGACCAAAAGTTCTGACAAGAATTATTAAAGGAGAAGTTTAGTTGGCTCACAGTTTCATAAGTCTCAGTCCATAGATACCAACTCCATTGCTCTGGGCCCAAGATGAGACAGAATATCATGGCAGAAAAGAATGGTAGAGGAAAGCATCTCAGGACATGACCACCAGGAAGTAGAAAGCAAGAGTTTCATTCACCAAGAACAAAATATAAACCCCAAAGGCACATGCCCACTGACCTACCTCCTCTAGCCACATTCTACCTGCCTACATTGACTGTCCAGTTAATCCATTCAAGTGGATTAATGCACTGATTAGGTTCAGGCTCTCTGTAACCCAATCATTTTATCTCTAAACTTTCTTTCATTGTCTCATGCATGAGTTTTTGAGGGACACCTCATATGTAAACCATAATACATCATTCAGCATTGGTAAGAAGTGAAATATTGATCCATGCTACACTTTACATAAATCTTGAAAATATTATACTAAGCAAAAGAAGCTAGGCACAAAAAGCTACATATTTTATGCTTCTGTTTACATGAAATGTCCAAAACAGGCAAACCATGCAAAATGATGACTAGTTTTCGCCAAAGGCCAGGATTGTGGAAGGAATAGAAAGGAGAATGATTCCTAATGGGCATGAATTTTTTTCTTTTTTTTGAGTACCAGGGATTGAACTCATTCAACTACTGAGCCACATCCCCAACCCTATTTTGTATTTTATTTAGACACAGGGTCTCACTGAATTGCTTAGCACCTCACCTTTGCTGAGGCTGGCTTTGAACTTGCCATCCTCCTCCCTCAGCCTCCCAAACTGCTGGGATTACAGGCGGGCACCATTGCACTTGGATTGTTTTGTGGACGGGTGGGGATAAAATGTTCTGAATTAAATACTGGTGATGGTTGTTTTACTATGTGAATATACTAAAAACCACTGAATTTTACACTTTTAAACAGTGAATTTTTCTGGTATGTCAATTGTATTACAATAATTGCTTTAAGGAAAAATAGGTTCCCCTACTCCAGGGATGGCAACTGCAGCTCACATGAAGGCAGGGCTTGGCACTCACAGCAGAGACTATTTCAGTCCTCACTCTCCCATTGTCTAGAGCATGCCTATATAGAAAGAAATTCCGGGCCAACCCTGATCATCTCTCAGAGCTGAACTTTTTGCTGAAAGACTCATCCAAACAATGATAAAGGTAGAAAAATAAAGAGAGCAATGCAAATAAAGAAATCCACCATCGCACATCTATTATAAATTCAGCAAACATTGAAAAATTAAAATGACAAATGCATTTTTAAAATACATTGTAAAGTCATAGACTCTCCTGATATTGTTCTAAGGATAAATGCTACCTTCCTGCAGAAAAATGACACCAAGAAAGATTTACAAATTTGTAACGCAAAATTTTTTGAACTGCTTGCTTAACTATTTAAAAAATGGCTTTCTCATTCTCTAAATTTCCTTTCCTTTTATTCAGCTTCTGTTTCTGACCTGAAGTAGAGTAAAACAATAACAACTTGTATTTTTTTCTTTCCTTTCTCTCATGTTTTATAAATAATTATCCTGGCAAAAAGTTGTAATGACTCTTGTGATTATTAAATGGAAACATGGGTATAGCATTCTAAGTATTTAAAGGGGAAACAGTTTTTGCTATAGCTAAGGTAGGATTTAAAAATCTTTGTCAATAATGAAAAAAGCATTTCTTACCAATATATCTGTTTTTTGTTGCTGTTGTTTTTGTGGTGCTGGGGACTGAACCCAGGGCCTGGGGCATGTGAGACAAGGACACTAACAACTGAGCTATATCCCCAGCCCTCTTATCAATATCTTTTGTAAAGTTTAAGGAAACAATTATAAACAGAACCACAAATTAAAATGGAGCAATGTTGCCACAATGAAAAATTTAAGACAAAAATTTGCACAAGTTGAATTTATTTAACCAGGCAGAACTTGTCTCTTTGGTTCTCCTGCCTATATATTTGGTCACTTGGAATGGACTTTGTGTATGCCCTTGGATAATGCTGAAATGTATGACTTGAAACTGGGTATGAGTCTAAAACAAAGGAACACGATTCAGAGGGTATATATATTAGGAACTTAGATTGAGTGCCTAGGAAAAATATCACTGATTTTAAAACACTCAATTCTAGCATTCAACTTCACAACAAATTCTAAGGGCAATGTAGAAAATACCATCTAATCAGGTGGGGGAACAAGACAAGATTAGTATATGTACTGATTAATATGGATTATTGAAAGAGGAGCTGAACTGAATTTAGGTTTTTGCTTTGTCGAGGGATTTAATAAATACTTATTTCTGTTTTTTGAAGGAAATTGTAAAGAATGTATGGATTAAAGACTGGGGATATATTTTGGTGGTAGCATGTAACAAGCCTCTGGGTTAGATCCCCAGCCCTGCAAATAAACTAATTAATTAATGAATGAAAAAATGTATTGTTCTATTTTCTGCCTCCATTAAATAGGAACACTGTGTGCAGGGCATTTACCACCATTAATTCAATCCTTTTAATGAATACTCTTCCCAAAAGTTAAATCTACAAATTGAAACATGCCAAATGATTCTTTTAAAAAATAAAAGAAAATCACATATAAAAGTAGACTTAAATTTAGAAGAACTTAAATGAGATGTTATTAAATGGATTTGTTCTAATTTGTAGGTAACTCAGTTCTATGAAAAAGAAAAGCTGTATACCAATCTTCTAAGACACGTGGATTTCTACATTATGCCAGTAATTAATGTGGATGGTTATGACTACTCGTGGAAAAAGGTAGCTGAAAGTGAAGAAAGCAAAACGTGCCTGGGATATGAGAATTACAGGTTGAATTATTCATAGAAAATTCCTTAATCTTAGCATAAGGATCTTATTATGAAAAAAAATTAATTTCTATTATGGAAAATTTTAAATATAAATAAAAATGAACATAATTATATAGTAACCTCTTAAGTATTCATTACACAGCTTCAAGTACAGTCAACTCCTGTTAGTTACCTTTTCATCACTCTGACAAGATAACTGAGACAATCAAATTAAATTTTAATCAAATTAAAAGAAGGAAAAGTTTATTTGGGCTCCTGGTTTCAGTCCACCGTCACTTGGCTTTGTTGCTGTGGGGCCTTTATCAAGGCAGAACATCATGGTGGTACATGTGGTGGGCAAGGTTGCTTACCTCATAGTGACTGGGAAGCAAAGAGTGAGCAAGAGGAGACCTGGAATCCCAACATCCCCTTCCAGGCATTCACTCAATGACTTCCTTCACTAGGCCCCACCTCCTGAAGGTTCCACCAATCCCAATCGCCCCCCAGGTTGGGAACCAAGCCTGTAACACATGGGACACAGGAGGACAATTAGGATCCAAACCCTAACACAAGTCGTGGCCAACTCTGTATTATCTGTATGCACCATCCACTTTTACCTTCCTCATATTATTCAAAGCAAATCCCAGACACAATATCACTTCATTAATACATATTTCAGCATGCATCTCAATAAGAAAAAGACTAATTAACACACATATCAAAAGAGAGCATCGAAACTCATGACTCAGAGTTAGGAGTTGAGACACAGTTAAAATATTTTGCTTTTCTTTGAAGGAACTCAAAATCAGCCTGTGTGTAAAATTAATTTAAAGGAAACAAGATTAAACAAGAAGGTTCATAAGCAGCCTAGTGGAAACAAATGAAAAAATTCTTTTTGTATAGATCAAAATTCATCAAATGTGACCATTTTGTTTGGTTCAAACTGAACTAGCTGGAGTGAACCTGACTGAGACCTGGATACAATGGGGGTTATGTCAGGGGAGGCTGCAGAGGCAGCATCAGGATGATAGACAGAGGTTGGGGGGGCAGAGGGAAACCCAACCTGGCCCTTGGGCTTCATAAGTCCTGTCTTTCCTTGAGCTGCAAACACCACCTTGGTTATCTGTTCCTGTTTCTTTTCCTTAGAATCGAATGTGGAGAAAGAACCGTTCTTCCCATGAGAACAACCGTTGTATTGGAACAGACCTGAATAGGAACTTTGCTTCCAAACACTGGTGTGGTAGGTTACTTGCTTATTTCTAATATTGTCTCTTCACTAAGAGGGTGAGAAAGGCCTGAGAATTCCAACTAATTACAGGGGAGCCCCATATGAAATGGGGAATAATTTAAATAATAAGCTTTTGAAGTAAATGTAATACTATGAATGTTGACTAGAATCAGCAAGTCACTTTGCTCTTTCCTCCTTGATGTTTCTTCATCTTTAAGGGAAAGGGAGGTAGGACCAGTTCTTTAAGGTCCCTTCTGGCTTCAGAATTCCAAGATTCTATTATCCTAGAATAACAAGGAAGTGACTGTTGAAGACCTTTCCTTAGTAAATAAATAACTTAGCCTTTCACAGACTTGGGGTGGCAGTAGGACTTCTTCTTTTCTATTGTGCTGGTAAACATTTAGCTTCTATTATAGTGTTTGAAAACATTTTCCTTTTGTTTTCACTATTCAGTTTCTTAAATTCTTTTATGAATATTAGCAAGAAGCTAATAGCAAGTAATTAAAAATAATGCAAAAAATATAAAAAGATAAGCACAGTGGAAATCTATCATTCTTTGATTTGAATGAGCTAAAATGCTCAGTGACTATTGATTTGAAGATTTGAGAACAATCTATGCTCAGGGAGGTAGGCATTAGTTCATCTTTTTATTTTTCTTGTAGCATTATAATGCTATAAAACAAAGTTAAATTGAACATTGAGCTTAAATCAATGTAGTTTTGAAAATGGGTACACATGGCTCTGTAGGGACAAGCTATTGCACCCAGAGAAACATACTCATTTTCCCACATTTTTGCACAATGCAGTATGTGATTGTATGTATTTCCTTCAAAAGAAGTAAAAATTTGTGATGTTGAACTTCACCAGTACCCCAGAGCACATGTGGCAGCCTCACTACACGGCACTCACCTTGCTCCTTCACTTCCTTGCCTTTCTAGGTTAGAACTCTTTGAGGGCGGGGCCATCACCCTTTACCTAGCAAGATGCTTGGTACATTAAGGGCTCCCACAGAATATTGCTTTAATGAGCCTGTGGAAGCATTTAGATGCCCTGGGAATTCCATATGCAGGAGGAACACAGGAAGGAGTAGTTAATCCTGACATGGGCATGAGGGAACCAGCCACTCAGTGTGTCCCACTAAGAGCCACCCTTGGGATTGCTGAAGAAGAGTGTTCACAGAGGCCCAAAGGCTGCTGTAGCATTGATAACTGTACAGGGACTCAAACAGCAGTTGCTCATGTAAAAAATAATCTAAGTAAACAGAGGGTTATTAAGTGCCAAGCAGTTCACATATATTCACCTCCTGGATTTAACTAGCATAGATAGACTTTAAAAGTTAAGTTTTATCGTAGTCCTTTCTAGGTTGCTAATAACAACAATTTATGGACTGGGAAAGTTATAAAAAGAAGAGATGTTCGTTTTTGGCTCATTGGGGTTGAGTTCAAGGGGTCACATCTGATGATGATCTTCTTGGTAGCATAGTTCCGAAGCAGCACAGAGCATCACACGGCAAGAGACAGTGAGTCCCGGAGAAATGTAGCCAAAATAGATTTTACAAGAAGCCCACTCTCAAGATAACCCATTCATGAGAACAAAACCCTCCTCACTTCTTAAAGGTCCTACCTCTTAATATCTTATGTGAGGATTAGATTCCAACTGGATTTCAAAAGGAACAGACTAATTTAAACCACAGCCAGAGCTAGGATATAAACCTAGGCTGATTGAATTTTTCAAAATTCTTCTAAGTCAATCTCTCTTCAGTCATTTCGCTTTCAGAACTTCCTATGTTACCTCCAAACTCTTTGCATGCTCAGTTGTGCTTTTTACATTGAAGTCAGTGTCCTCTTGTTTGAATAACCAGGCAGTCAAAATATATTCTGTTATTGTCTTCAAGAAAGATCTCAGTGTCCTTTTAGGCAGGCTGTGGTTTTACTACATTACACAAGAGTTAAAAGCAGAAATAGCAAGCAGTAAACATATAAGCAAGAGTTCCCAATACAACAAAAATCACCAATATCTCTTCAGTGCTATGCAAACAAGACTGTAAGAAAGAATTTCATCTCTTCCTTGACCCTACAATCAGAATGTGCCTATATGGTACTTTACTTAAAAGATCATGCCATGGAACTAACAGGAAGTGACATATCAAGACTACCTATTCATTTTTATGCTCATTTTATTTTTCTCTATTAAAAGTGTGTGTGTGTGTGTGTGTGTGTGTGTGTGTGTGTGTGTTGGAGATGGGTAGTGGGTAGGTTGCTGGGAGGTGTCTTAGTCTAATAGGGCTGCTGGAACAAATCCCCATAGACTGGGTGACTGTGTCATCTCACAGTTCTGGAGGATAGAAGACCAAGATCAAGGTGCCAGCTGATGTGTGACAGTCTGCCCTGTCAGCAAGTCTCTAAGGCCCAGAAAAGGATTTTCCTCTCTATTTGACCACTCTTTAGCCATTTTGATTTTTATGTTACCACCAGTATAGTAGCTTCTAATCAGGTCTGTCTACTGAGCCTTGTCTAGATTGACACATGTGGTGAGTATGAAATTCACAGTGGAATTCAAAGGCTTAGTACAAGAATATTTCATGAATTATTTTTACATTGATTTAAAGTGGTGAAGGCTTTATACACATAGCATTCAAGAATTATAATACTAACTTAATTTTAACTATTTCTTTTGACTCTCCTTAAAGTGGCTATTTGAAAATTTAAGATAAATATGGGATTTGCATTATATTTCTGTTGAACAGTCTTAGACTGAGGATTTATATTAGGGGACTGTGTCTCTTTTCAATGTTTTTTATGTCTTCTCCAACCTCCATTCCAAATAAATAATCTTTATTTTGTACTTCTGTGTACCAGGAAAAAATGGACAGGGATATTTAAAGGTAACTGAACTATCAAAAATGATTTAACCAGTCAAAACAAATAAAAATGCCTAGAAAATCTATTTTTTAATAAAAATAGATAAAATACTTGGAAAGGACTTGGGTGTTCAGCCCATTTCCTTGTGGGGAAAATGCTTAAGGTTGTTTTTATTTCAAATAACAAGAAGAAAGCAGAAAATGCTCACATTAAAAAGGAAGACTCTGCCGGAACGTTGGAGTAGCTCATGGAGCCTGATGGCAGGAACACAGCTGGACTCATATGTAGACAGGAACTGACCTTGGAGCGCTGTAGGGCAGCCAAGTGATCCCTCCCTCTCCCCATTTCATCTCTGTGGTGCACACTGGCTTTTTGGGGGTCCCAATCCATGGTGATGATGATGATGATGACAACGACGACGATAATGATAGCAATGATACATAGCAGCAGTTATGGAACACAGACCATATGTATGCAGTTCACTTAAACCTCATTCAATACTCGTTAATTTTTCAGATAAGAAAATAGAGGCATAGATAGGCTTAAAATGACTACCAAAGGCCATATGACTCCTGAATGGGAAAGTCAAGAGTAGAATCAAGTAACTGGATGCTTAACAATATGTGGCAGAGCCTCTTATGGTGAACAATGGTTACCACCAACAGTGTCAAGTTTACATCTCCTACAATAACAGTGTATACTTTATAGGGTCGCTGTGAGGATCAAATTAGACATTCCATAAATCTTAGCACAATTTTTGACACTTAGCATGTGCTCTTTGGGTGTAAGTTGGTAATATGACTATTGTTATCTTCTAATTTGTTCAAGAAAGAAGATGGACTGAGACTAGAATCTTAGTCTCGATTTCAGGTTATCATAGGAGGGATTCAAATTGGCAGGCACAAGTTTAAGACCTAATTCTGGGACCTCAACTGTTCTCAACTGGGAATTATTCTTTGGGTCAGATGTGGCTCCCTAGAGTTCCACACCTGTGAATTAGGGACAGAGGGAGGAGTGTTGAACTGATGTGTACTTTATTTTCTTAAAGGAATGAATAAACATTATCCTTGCATCAAATACTAGCATCCCATTTTATTTACGAACCATGTTAGCAAGGTAAAAGTGACACACAAGGCAGACTTGCGTATTGAGTTCCCAAGGAAGGCTATTCTTTAGTGGCTTATACTGCTTAACAATTTCTCAACTGCAAATATCAGACAAACTGAGATGAAAGAAAATGCAATTTATGTTTCTTCACATAACCAGAAGCTTGGAAGCAGGACTGACATCTCTGAGACTTTTCCTTGTGGCTTTCTCAAGTTTGCGAGATGACTGCCCCCAAGCAGCAAGGGAGACAGGATCTGGGAATGACACTTAGAAGATCTGCTGTGAGGGCATGTAAATATTTGGTTTGAAAAGGCCTTTTTGAACAACATTTACTAGACACAAGAAATATGTTCCTTCCAGAGCTCTCCCTAATCCATTTATCTTTTTTTGTTGTTGTTCTTTTTAAGTATGCATGACAGTAGAGTGTACTTTGACCAATTATACATACATGGAATATAACTTACCTAATCCATTGATCTGAATTTGCTGCACCACAGATATTATAACACATTGTCAGGGCAACCCAAATGACAGTAGAATGGACATCCCCTTAAAATTCCTTTTTATCAATTTTACTACAGAGGAAGGTGCCTCAAGTTTTTCGTGCTCTGAAACCTACTGTGGACTTTATCCTGAGTCTGAACCAGAAGTGAAGGCAGTGGCTGATTTCTTGAGGAGAAATATCAACCATATTAAAGCTTACATTAGCATGCATTCATATGCCCAGCAGATACTATATCCATATTCCTATAATAGAAGCAAAAGCAAAGACCATGAGGAACTGGTAAGTGCTATTTAATGATTTTTTTCTCATTAGCATTTCAAAAATAAAATAACACTTAGTTAAAGAGTCAGAAACTGTGGGGAAATTTTTCTCCTTTAGAGGACAAACAGGTAGATAATTTTACATCATGGCTTAACTCTGTCAAGAGTTTCCCTGGGGTCAGGGCTCAGAAAAGGGAAGATAAAGAAGATACAGAGGGAAGATAAAGAACTAGCCTTACTAGGAGGTCATGAACTTCATTCAAGCAGATAGCTTCCCTAAGAAAACATTAAATTCCTTGAAGGTCAGGGCAGCCTTACAGTAACCTGGACTGACCTGCTTTTGAAGTCATATAAGCAAACATAAGAGTCTATGGAATTGTGGAAGTGCATTGGGGTCACTAGTTTCCTAGGACAGTCCACCATAGATTAAGTCCCAGAACTACAGTCATTATTTTAGTATTAGCAGTGGAAATAATTTACACACTGACCTCCTAATGCCCAAAGTTGTGGTGCTATTAAAGAAACTCCGATGTCTGTGTTGAGGCAAGAGTCTTTTTCTTTTTCAAATATTTTTTTAGTTGTAGTTGGACACAATGCTTTTATTTTATTTATTTTTATGTGGTTCTGAGGATCGAACGCAGTGCCTCGCATGTGGGTAGGCAAGCACTCTACCGCTGAGCCCCAGCCCCAGCCCCAGCACCAGCCCCAGCCCCAAGAGTCTGTTTTCTTTCTTTCTTTTTTTTTTTTTTTTGGAATGCAGTGGACTGTAGAAAAAGTTCAAAAAGGACCCACACAGGCTGCTATCCTCTTGCCACTCTGTGATCCCAGATGCTCCTTGTTTGGGATGATGGCAAAGGATGCAAAGATTCTTGGTGGATTGTGGCTACATTTAATCAATTCCTCATTGTAGATGATTTGCAGACAGTAGAGTATAATGGCATTAATATTGTCTGATCTTGATGGGCATAGTGGCGGACACCTATAATCCCTAGTATCTCAGGAGGGTGAGGCAGAAGGATTGCGAGTTCAAAGCCAGCCTCAGCAACATAGTAAGGCCCTAAGCAACTCAGTGAGACCCTGTCTCTAAATAAAATATATTTGATACTCGAGGAGCTTTCTTAATTTCTTCTTTTTCCCAAGTAGCTGGGACCACAGGCATGTGCCACCATGTCTGACTCTTGTGATTTCCTTTTTTCCTCTCAAAGGCAAAATTTAAGGTAGTCTTTACTAGTATTACCTTTGAAGAATTTAAAGGGTATCATGATTTGGAAGAAACTGACTTACCTTATTTTTGCATTATTATTAGCACAGATATTTGTTGAGAGTTGTTATGTATACGATGCTGTATTCAGTAGATATTCAAAGAAGCATTTGGTAAGACTGCCCTTTAGGATAATTCCATGTGATCAGGGAGCTTGGTCATAAGTAAATATCACAAATATCTATACCCTTGGCACAGGTAGCAGAACTTATTGATTACTGGGAGAGCAGGAGGTGGCCCTAATTCATTAAGAGAGGAGTGCTGAAATATGTGAGAGGATAAAATAGCCCCAGTTCTTGAAGAATTTGCAGTCTATTAAGGAGTGACTTCCTGTAAAGAAACAGGAATTAAAAATGCCACTGAAGTCGAGGAACAGGTACCATTTCAGCCAGGCATTAAAAGAGGAGTTCTATAGAAGGACTTTCCACACAGAGAACATGGTGTTTCCCACAGGAAAAATGTTTAGGGTGCTGCTAGGGTGCAGGCATGGAAGGTGGCACCATCGGGAAACAGAAGAGGTCAACTTGCAAAGGAGTTTTAATAATAGAGTCAATTTGTATTTTGTCATGTAGACAATTAGTTTCCATTAAATGTAATTTTTGAACAAAGGAATGTCACAATATAATATCCAATGATGTTCCTCTGGTGATTGTGAAACACATAATGTTAGTCCCAATGCTAGTTCAGAAAAGATGGGGGTTAAGTGGAAACTTCAGAAAAGATCTTTGTAAGTTGGAACCAAGTATAGTCAAAAGGGTACTTGTCATTATCCTGCTCCATCTTGAGGACATAATCCTTTTTGCTTGATGAGTCTTTGGAAGTCACTAAACATTTTATACAAGAAGAAAATAAAAGAGTTTTTGGAAAGAGTGAGAAGTAACTCATGCATGCAGTGGGCATGTGCAAGTTTAGAGAAATTAGATTTAAAATTTGATGGTAATTTTGTCTAGGAATGGAATAACTACAAGCCCATGAATATATTGTTCATTTCATATAATAAATGAGTTCCTGAAAAGTTATGTGAAAATTATTTTTATGTAAATTAAATCAAATTTGCAGTGCATTGGAAGATAAGTTCACCCAGTTGTGATTGCCATGAAGTGGAAAACGTGTTTTAGTTGTTGTATTATTCTCCTTATTTTTCCTTTTTGGACAAATTCATACTTTTTGTATAAACACTTTGATTCAATTAATATGATTGTGTTTTTAGAAACTTCTACCTCTCCCGGTTCAAAGTTTCACATGAACTGAAATTCCATATCCTATTGCTTCTAGTCTTTGGTGGCCAGTGAAGCAGTTCGTGCTATTGAGAGTATTAATAAAAATACCAGGTATACACATGGCAGTGGCTCAGAGAATTTATGTAAGTATTTCTTCCTAAAATTTTGGAAAACTGTGAGGTACTAAAGAAATCTGTGTTTAGTTTTTATGTGTAGGTTTAATTTTTCCAAATTGAATCTTTACAATAATTAGAAATAGAAGAATAGCTGTGACAGTACTAACAAGCTGTATTAATAAATGATCACAGCAAAAAGAAGCCAAAATGATATTTAAAGAATTATGCTTATAATCATAGAATAGGAATTATAGAATTGGCACCATACTAGTTAAGTAAAGGAAAAAAGGTCATAAAGGATTGAAAGAATGTATAAGATGCCCAGGGCCATTACATAAGGTTGTKCATGTTGTACATTATACAAATAGGAGATGCCATTTATCATAGATGTTTTTTCGTAACAGCTTATATTCAAGAGTATAACACATATCTCACTACAGTTGAATGCTTTTTGATTAATTTCTGCTGGAAGATATTTATTGAGAGAATCTATTGTACCCACCATGGGATTACAGAAAATAATTTTTCCTTTTTAAAAATTTTTTTTGTTGTTGTAGATGGACACAATACCTTTATTTTATTTATTTTTATGTGGTTCTGGGGATTTAACCTAGTGCATCACCTGTGCTAGGCATGTGCTCTACCACTGAGTCACAAACCCAGCTTTTATTTTTCCCTTTTGAAGCTGGAAGGTAGATGGCATAAGATGAACAGAAAATAAATATGTAACCAGGTATCAGCAAACTATATACATCCTGAAGTTCAAATCTAGCCTTCTGTTTATTTTTATAAAAATTGTGAGCTAAGAATTATTTCCTGTTTTTTAAATGATTTTAAGAATCTAAAGAAAAATACAATTTTTTGACACAAGAAAATTATGTGAAATTCATATTCGTGGGTATAAGTAAGTATACTGGAATATCATCATGGTCATTCATTTACATACTGAGTATGAGGGCTTCCATGTCAGCAGAGCTGAGTAATTATAACAGGGACCATGTGGCTCACAAAACCTAAAATATGTAACATCTGTTCCTTTACAGAAAAGGTTTGCCAGCTCCTAGTGTAAATAAATGGTAAAATATAGTGTAATTTCATAAAGTGCTTTGAAGAAAATAAAATAGGCTTATAGGTTTGAGAATGACTGTAGATAATAGACCCTACTTAGCTCAAGTGGCCTGGGAAGGTTCCTCTCTACAGGAGACATTTCTGGGAGAGCTACCTAGTAAGTGGCCACTACATAAAGGAGAGTGATGTCCAGGGAGGAGAAATGACAAGGTCTTGACATAATATATTCAAAGCCCTAGAGTTTCCTTTAACAAGCATGATGTGTGGTAGGATAAAACCAATCACATTTGTATATTTTCAGTAAGTTGCTTGAGCACTAGATGCCCTATTAGTGGGAAGTCCCAGAATCTCCCACTTTCTCTACCCCAGACTATCAGGCACATTGATCAACATGGTATCTCTGTTCCATGGTGTCAATGGTTTACTGCTGACTTTACAACCTAGACCCATGCCCTTGCCTTGTTACAGAGGAATCCCAGTTATCTTCATAATTCAAAGCTTTCTTGGTTCCCATCTTCTTCTCTATTATTGTTCCCCATAGCATTAACAACAGTGCCTTGAGTTTGAAGAAGCTTATAGAGCAGCCTTCTGTTATGCTGACATCAGTCTGTCTCCACATATTTATTCTCCCAGGATTCATCTATAAATATGTGTGTGTAAGCACAGGGGAATGGCAGGAAGAAAAAATGTCAGATATTGGTCATGGTTATCAGAAATGTGTTGAAGGAAGAAATGAATCTATGCCTTTTTAAATGAATATACTCTTCAGTTAATCCCATAGTTTATCCATCTATAGATAGAAAGAGACAAAGATTATCATTTTTGCATATTATACAATTGTTTATCTGAAAAACTAGAAAATTAAACAATAATATTAGTAAATAAAAGTGGTAAGTATGGTGACTGATTACTAATGAAATATACACAAATCTAGAACTTTATTTATAAGAACAATCAGAAAATAAAATGGGGATATAGCTTGGTGATAGAGCACTTGCCTAGCCTGCATGAGACCCTGGGTTCAATCCCTAAACCTAAAAAAAAAAAAAAAAAGTAAAAAAGATCTGACTGTATGTATAAACACACACATACACATACACATACACATGCACATATAGATTCATACTATATATAAGGATTTATTGTTAGGTATATATGTGTGCACACAAATACATAATAAATTCATACGACCCATTTGAAAAACCTAGAAAATTTTATTGATATATATAAAATAAGACAAAAGGAGAAGCTTACATGTTTTGAATGGAAAAGAAATATAAAAAATATTAATTTTCATGTTTAATAAAATTCCAATAAACACTTAAATGAGTTTGAAATTCATTTGAAAAATAAATTTTAGAAGAGCTTGTAAAATACTGAAAATAAGACTAGTAAGACAGAATTTGCCCCCAACAAGTATATTATAAACCTATAGTAATTGGGACACTATGGAATTGATCCTGGAAGAGACAAATCAATAGAAGGGAATAGTGAATAGAGAAAAATATTCAAACATATGAGATCTGGTACCTCATAAAGAAGGTATTTCAAGCCAATTAAGAACATGAAGCTATTTGATTAATGGAGCTGGAAAACATGACATTATTTAGAATAAAAACTTAGTTATTAACAAATGTTTTACCAAAATAAATTCTAGTATGATCAGATGTTAAAATACAAAAACCCAGCCATAACCTGAGTTGCCAGCCAAAAAATCCAAATGAGAAAAATTCTCCACATATTACACAGGGCTATTAGCATTAATGTTTTTATGAACAATCTGTAAATGAACCATGTAGATAATGAGCAAGGATAATTGATATAAAATATAAAGATGGATAATAAATATATCAAACAAAATGTGCAAATCACTGATAATGAAAGAAACATGAATTGATAATATTATTTTTCACCCACAACATTGCTGGAATGCATAATTTCCATCAATGGTGTAGGAGGGAGAAGTGGGCATGTTCATAACCTGCTATTGGAAGTATAAATGGTTCAATTCTTTTGAAGTACATTTGAAAATGCATGCCTCATAAGTGTAAAAATAAAGTACATAACCTTAGACTAGCCAATCTACTTGAAGGAAAGAACAGCCTACAGAAACAAAGATGCAATTATTTATAAGCAAGGATGCCCATTGTGAAGTTGTTTTTATTAGTTAAATTAGAAAAAAATTAAAGGTACCCAATTAAATAAACATTTAAAATAATTATATCTAGGTTTACAAAGCAATGCTATGAGATTATAGGAAATGGTGTAGATTTGAACTTATACTTTATTTAGAAATATCACAATGATAATATTTAGAAATATTACAAAACAGTGTGCACACTGTGATTTTATTTGTGTAGTAAGAAAAAAATTAAACAAAAGCATGCACTGAAAAAAAGGACATTAAAAAGTTATTGGTGATTATCACTTCTTTGAAGGATTATGGGAGAGTTATGGGTCATTTTTGTTTTCTTCCTTAACCTGCTTTCCCTCAATCTCTACTTTCTATAGGAAACATGGGTTATAGAAAAAAAGCAAAGCCATTTTCATTTTTTACAAGAAAAAATCCCATTGTTAATTTTGACATATCTTCAAAAAGCAATTTCTTTTTTCTTTTAGACCTAGCTCCTGGAGGTTCCGATGATTGGATCTATGATTTGGGCATCAAATATTCATTTACAATTGAACTTCGAGATAAAGGCAGATATGGATTCTTGCTGCCTGAGCGTTACATCAAACCCACTTGTACAGAAGCTCTCGCCGCTGTTGCTAAAATAGCTTGGCATGTAGTCAGACATGTTTAATGTTCTTGATTTTTCACTTTGCTTCCATATTCTTAATTTACTGATTCCAGCAAAAACCAAATCGTTGTGCAAGTTTCTATTAGGCTTGATCCATAGTTTTGATCAAAGGTTTGCCTCCTTGATTTTGTCAAAAACAAAATGCATGCTACTTGGAAATCACGATAGACAAGGGAGTTCATGAGTGTTTTTAACTTTTTTTTTTTAATCTGTAAGAGCCCAGATACTGATCTTTTGCTTTCTGATATTTGACTAGCTATCTCAAGCAATTTTAATAATTAGTTTCATGCAGATCACTGGATCTTGCAACAAAAGGAAAGGTGGCCAGGAATACACTAAAGATTTCTTCCCTGATTTTTCAATAAATTTGTTTGCATCTTCAAAAACACAACCGTGTATTCCATTTGCTTCACAGTAATAGACAAAGGCCCTGGAAGGGGAGGGGTGTCAAACATGAGATAAATATCACCTCTTGCTCCAGCTCAGCCGGCTCCATAAACAATTGTTGAGCGAATGAATGGCTGTGGTTACTTTCAGCAACGAATATGGCGTTTTGCGCGGTTGTTTATTGCAAGAAATTATACAATAAAAAGAGGAAAGTCCTTAACTTTATTTTTAAGGGCGAGTTTCACCGGCCCCTAGCTCCCAGAGTACTCCCCGCGATCTCACAACACAAGTGTGGATCACCAACGCCCGAAACACGCAGCCGACCTAACGCCCCGGAGGCGTGTCCACCAAGGGGCGGTGCCGGCGCGCTGACGACTAATCCGGCGGCCGGAAGTTGCCTTGGTCTATAGAGGACCAGGGTAAACCCTGACTTCCGGCGGCGTTTTGAGGCGATCCTCCTAGCGGCCTGGTAGTGTTTTCGTTGCCTTTTCGTACTCTCCAGTCTCTTGGTTCTGTTTTTTCCTACGTCCGGTTCTCGCTTGACACTGGCGAAGCGGAAGTCTGTTTCCACTTCTGAGACGCCCCGCGGGCCCCTCTCTAGCCGAGGGCCGGTTCCCGGGAGCCGCGCGTGCACCTCCCTCTCGTCGTCCTCCTCCCGGGGCCAGGCGCGGGGACAGAGAGTCGCCTCCCCAGCTCCTCGGAGCGGAGGCGGCAGTGACACCTAAGGATTACGTTTGGGGAGGGTGCTTGGGGAGGAGGTAAGCGTTCAGTGAATTGGTGTGGGTGTCTGAGGAAAGGCGTCGGTCGGGCCCGGAGTGGGGAGGCCTGGGTTGGCTGTCCACCGTCCCCTTTTAGGTTATGCTAGGATTTTGAGCTCTGCTTAAGCATCCCACTCCTAGTTCTGTAATAACTTCTTGTGCTCAAACCTAGTTTCTTGTTGTAGTTATGATTGTGACCTTTGTCTAGGGGGGACAGGTCCACACAGACACAAGATTGTGCCCCTCTCCTGTTTGATAACAGGCAATGGGAACCCTGGCGCGACATTCCCATTTGTATGCTTTGAAAGGGTGCGCCCCCCCCCCCTTAGATTTAGAGTTTCCCTCTTTACGCCTTCCAGCCTATTAGAGAAAAAGGGGGTCTTCCTTTTGATTATGTGTCTTGCTTATTTCTCGGTAGTGATAACGACGTACATCCTGGAGTTGAGGAGTGCTACTTTATTCTTACATTCCCTAGGTAGTTACTTTTGGCAACTATCTGTCCGAAATTGGGAAAGGTGGAGTAAAAGGAGAGGGTCTGACATTTGGCATTTTCTTTTTCTAAATAGGCGAATAATTTATGTGGCTGAAAATTATTCAGAGTTGATAATATTTGCGATTTTGGTAGGATCTTGTTTGTGGAGGGCAAGGTCCTAACATTGAATACAATGTTCAGTTGTATTATGGGGCTTTCAACTAATTTGAACTATTTTGAAAAATTTGGGCGTGTGTAATCTTTGCAGATGTTTGGATTTTCAAAGAAGTAATTTTAAAAGTTTGGGAAATGATCTTGACGCCTCAAGTTTTCAAAGTCCATGATACTGTTGCAATAAATCCATATAATTATGCAGTACAGTCTGTGCGTATGTGGTGTGGGGTAGCTGGGTCTAGTTCTGTTATATTTGGCAATACTGACTTAAGCGACAGTTTTTTGAAGAGTTTTGTGGACATAATCTATAAATTTTCAAATAATTTCCAATTTAATATTTAGATTATAACAGACAAGACACTAGGAAAGTTGATACAGACATGTAGCAATTTGTGTCTGTAAGAATAGTGTACTTAGAAACTAAGACTTTTCACTTGTGCATCTGATAGGATTCACTTTTATCAAATATACAGTTGACCCTCATTATCCACAGGGGATTGATTTGTATACCAAATTCCTTGGATGCACAAGTCCCTATTTAAAAATGACATAGTATTTGAATATAACTTAAGCACATCCTCTTGAATACTTTAAATCATCTCCATGCTTAGAATACTTAATACATTGTACATGCTATGTAAATTATTACTATGCCGTGTTATTTAGGGAAAAAGAAAAATGAACGTTTACAGTATACACACTTTTTATTTCTGAATATTTTTCAGACATACTTTGTTGAAACTAATGATATGGAGGGCCAACTGTATGCAACTTACTGACTTCCAGATTAATGGTGATTCCAAATGAACATTGGTTGCATATTTTAAATGTGAAAACTTATCTCAATTTCATATCTGTAATATAATTTTGAAATACTAAAATATAATAAATGAATGCTGTTTTAACTTCTATGTGTCACTAAAATTTTAATGTCATCAGTGTTGATTTATATTCTAATATGCATTGGTATTTGCATATGGAAAGCAAAAATTGTTTCACTTATGTTTTTTTGGAGAATTAGTTTTCCACACCTGTTCATCTACTCCCTGCCCATCTTATATAGAGGTGGAAGTACTTTTACCAGGTATTTAATAGCAGTGAAAATTTAACTGGTGGGAGATACAATCACAATATTATATATACACACACACCTATATACATATATCTGTATACATATATAAATATCTATATTATACAGTCTTTTATTCTTATAAAAATAGTTTCATATGTTGTAAATCTATTCACTTTATAGTAGCTGCCAACAAAGGATGTTCCTTGCACAGTCTTTTTAATAAATTACTGTACAGTACTACATAATTGCCTTGCTAATACATATATTGTTGCTTCTATTTGGAGTCCAGTTTGAAATACTTTTAGTCTTAAATCTACAGATTAGCAATCTGGAAGGTTGTTTTATTGTTGTTAGAAAATTATTTTTTAAAGTTCTCTCAAACCTCTGCATCAGTTTTCGTTCCTTTTAAGAATCTAAGGAATCTAAAGAATATTTTTGATATAATGCTTTTAATCTTCAAAATTTGGATATAGAGATTTGTCCTACGACTAGTTAATAATATGTAGTTTAAATTGCTTAATTATTTAACAATTTTCTAGTGTTGTGCTGCTACTTATCCATATTAAAATGAGTTATGCTTTCATTTATGTTACCAGTAGATAAGACACAGGAAAGATGTAATAATGGATTAAAAGTGAAGGTACTATATCTTTACAGGTTGAGCATCCCAAATCTGAAAAACTCCAAAATCCAAAATTCTTTGGCACTGACATGACACCACAAGTGGAAAATTATACTGACTTCATGTGATGGTTGTAGTTAAAACACAGACACACTAATAATGTTTTATAGAATTATCTTCAGGTTATGTGTATAAAGTCTATATGAAACGTAGATGAATTTTGTGTTCAAACTTATGTCCCATCTCTAAGTTATCTTATGTTTTCAAACATTCCAAAATCTGAAATCCAAAATACTTGTGGTCAGTCCCAAGCTGATAAAAGAATCTCAATTTGTATATGTTTTGTTGACCAGACTTTAGTAATCAGGCCTCAGGTATAATTATTTATTCAAAAAGAGGACCTTCTAAGTTTCTCCTTTTTCAGTGTATCTATCTTAGGAACCTCTGAATGTGTTGTGACATTGTTAAGTTCCTTGGAGCAGAGGAGCAATTCCCAGTTTTAAGACTACTTTAATCAGTAGACTCTTAAGCTGGTGTCCCTTTTTTTTTTAATTGAAAAGAGATTATAGAAACTCCAGATATTTATTATTCTATAAATGGACAGAAGTAGAATAACTGAATAGGCCTGAACCAGTGTTACCTGGCTCTGATGATGCCTGTGTTTGGGAAAACATGATGCAAGTGGAAGTGTGATGACAACTTAAACCAAATCAAAAATGGAGGAAAACGTTCAGAGAAGAGAATAAATTAAATTAATAAGTTATTGATGTGACCTTAGAAATAGGAAAGTCTCTTTGACAGCATTTATATCTTATTGTTCCTAACGCCTCTACTTGGAAGCATTTATAAGGTTCTTTGAAGCCTATTCAAATATAAGTTGAAAAGATTTTCCTCCTTAATGAAATCTACATTTTATTTTGTTATAGTATTCATCTTTCTTTGTGTGCCCAAACTTTTAAATAGTATTGAAAATTCGAATTGTTACTTAAGTTGGTTACATAGTTTTAAATTAATATTTGAAAAGGTAGTTATTTCTGGTGCATTGTAGTTATGTATGTATTTTCAGACAAATGGAATTTTAAAAGTTATATATTGTGTTCTTTGTAATCAAAAGCATTTTATATGTGAAAATTCATGAATATCTCTGTACTAATAACTTTTTATTGACTACTGATAGAAGTTCCTAGATGAATGGTTTGTTAATTTCATGTCACTATAACAAAATACCTGAGACAGGCTACTTAAGAAGAAAGAAAGTTTATTTTGGCTTACACTTTTGGAAGTTCAAGTTCAAGATTGGTCCCATCACTTTGGGCCCCTGGGGAGGACTGCACAGTCTGCCGAAACACATATAAAACCAGACTGCTTGCATCACAGGCCAGGAAGCAGAGACAAACAGACCAACTTAGGTCCCATGATCCCTTTTGAGAGTATCCCTGTCCCCAGTGGTCTGAGGACCTCCATTAGGCCTCACCGCTTAAAGGTCCACAGCACCTCTCAATACTCCCACTCTGGGGACCAAACCTTATATATGGAGTTTGAGGGAACATTCATCCAGACCATAGCAGATGATCAAAATAATTCTAGTTAAATATCTTTAATTTCTGTTTTCTCCTTTTTCTTTAGTTGATTGGGTCTTCTTTAGACTTGGTTCAAGATACATTGCTATTTTAGGGCAAGGTCTGGCATTAGTGGACTCTGAGAAATACAGAGTACATCTTTACTTCATTGCATTTCTTCCCTAAATTGGAAGACTCAACAGTAACTAGGAGTAAAATTTGTAGGAAAATAACTGTATAGGTAAATCTTGAGTATTTTCTTTTTTGTTGTTGTTGTTGCTGGGGATTGAACACAGGGCCTTGTGCATGTTAGTCAAGCATTCTACCAACTAAGCTATACCCCAACACCTTGAGTAGTTTTTGATGTCACCTGTAAAAGCAGTTTTGTCTGTGTGTCACGATGGGCAAAAGGTGTGACTTATGCAGTCCAGAAGAAGAAATAAATGATCACATGCTTCTGCCCTTTTCAGTGCTTTACTCAAATCATTCAATACAATTCACTGTATAGGTTCTTAATAAAAAAATGACAATACTAGGCACTGCAATAGACAATTCACAGCAGACAATTCTAGATTAATTCTAAGCACTACAAACACACTTAGTCATATAGGCTAATGATAGACATTCCCTCTGCATGCTAAATTCAAGTATCAGATCAAAAGTCTCAAGCCTTAGGCTTTAAGTCCAGCAGATGCACACTCAGACCATGGTGATCAGATCAGGAACCAAGGCAGGCTTCTCCTGCTGTGGAGCTGACAGCTGGCTGAGGAGAGGGTTGTAGGGAGAAGTTGCAGCTCTCACCAGGGTCAAGATGTGCTTATAGAGTTTGAGAGTGGTGAGGGCCATGCAGAGGATCATCAGGCAAATGATGACAAGTGTTGGAATGTCAGTCCAGGTCCTTATCAGGCTCTTCAGCTTGTGTGCATCAGTATTGGCTGGTTGAATGTCTCTTCATTTGCTCTATTATTTATAGGAAATTTTGGGGCTTTTTATCACCCCCCCCCCTTTCACTCCTTATCAGCTGCCCCGGATTTTTCTGTGACTTCATTTACCCTGGGATTAAAACATCTGGTCTGGTAGTCCCCACCCTGATCTTTTTGCCTTTCCCTCTTGATTTTCTTGTCTTTCCCCCTTATAGGGTGAGGACAGCCTGCCAGAGGCTTCATTCTAAGAAGTGACTTGTTTGTGCCTGAGGGCCATACTGGAGGGCTCTGTAGCAGGTTTCAAACTGGAGTTTTTAAAATGGAGTTGCTTAGGCTCAGGCCTAAGGCCATCCTCACACTGTGTGAGAATTAACTTTTTTAGTTGCAGGGATACAAGGAGATGGGAGTGGTTTGTAATCTTGGATCAATAGTGTTCACTTGATTGTCTTTGACATAACTGTCTAAACCCTTTGCAATCTTCAGAATTTTTAGGGATCTGGGATTGGAAAGAAGCTCTGAAATGGTGCTTTCTAGCAGTAGGTCAGAGGAGAATAATAGTGATCCAAATGAAAGTGATGAAGCAGATAAAGAGTTCTGGAGCTCTCAAGAAAAAAAAGAAAGGAGATAGTAGCTGACTATTATTTCAGATATAATAATAAAAAGCTCATTGTCCCAACTGAAATCTGTAACCATTGGTTTTTCCCCCTTATTTGGATGAGAGTTTGTTGGGAGTGAGGTGCATTGAGGGTGGGGGTTTGGGGAACACAACTAACCCATTAATCTTCTTGAGGCACTGTGGTGGGATAAGGCAGGCTAAAAGGTTGTCCTTCTTTATAAGTTCTAGGTATAGCTCATGAGGAAATATTAGAATTCTTTGTTTTTCTTTTTTTTGGTACTGAGGATTGAAGCCAGGGGTGTTTATCCACTGAGCCACTTCCTCAGCCCTTTTTAAATTTTATTTAGAGACAGGGTCTCACTGAGTTGCCTAGGGCCTTGCTAAATTGCTAAGGTTGGCTTTGAAATCACAATCCTCCTGCCTTAGCCTCCTGAGCCACTGGGATTACAGGTGTGCACCACTGCACCTGCCTGAATCAATTCAATTTTAAGTTTCTTAAAAGAAATGTTTTCAAAGTTGAAATAATGGGGATTATAATGTACAACTATGCTAATATTTACAGTAATATAAAATGGAACTTTAAAATGTGTTTTTTTATAAACTTTTCCTATATATTTTGTGGCACATTTACTTTTTATTAAATCTTAGGTGATATAAATTGTAAATTTCTGGGTATTTTTCTCAGTTAAAACTACATTTTCTAGAAGATTTTTCTTAGCTTTATTTCTCTTAGCTGTTATACTTTTAATCGTTTTATGTTAAATAAATCAAATGGACATGTGAAACTCTGCCAAATTTTCCTCTATAAATTCATATTTGAGTTGCAAATGAGTTCAGAAAAATTAAGATTATCTTTATAAGGCTGACACTAATGGCATGCAGTTCCTCATTTGGAGAACAGTTGATACATAAATGATTCTATGTTGTAGCAAATTCCTATTCATTTAAGTTATTCTCTATCTTTGAATTATTAAAAGCTAATTTGCTAATGTACTAAAATACTGATTATATTTTACGTTAAAAGAGTAAGAACAATAAAATTTTCCAATTTAAAGCAATCATTATATCATTCATCTTTTCCTTTTGAGTCATTGTCTGTTTTTACCTGTCAAATGTTGTCCTCATTTTTTGGATCTTTTCAAAATGTGACCTGAAGGACCCAATTCAACCAAACATTGTTTATAAAAGAATAATAATTATTATTTTTAATACTGTGAATATTTTTCCAAGTACTATGTCTTTACTTTGAAACCATATTAAAGAATATTTATAAAGACTAATTCTATACCAAATGGAACTTTTACGTTTTTAGCTGTCATGGTTCATTCTAGGAATTTTTTATAACAAGTTTTGGCCAATATAAAGTGTGATATAGTTTAGTTGTTTTTTTTTTTTTTTCCTTTTTCTCCGCCCCCCCCTTGTTAGGCAATTCCTACCCACTTCCCACAGTGCTTCCCATGGTATGCTTTGGGTTATTTCTTGGTCTAGATTTTAATATTGTTTTATAATGTATATCATACTGTCCTTAAGTCATATTTTTACTTGTCATTGAATCATCCAGTTATATAGTCTAATTATCTCTCTATTACAGTTTTAGAATATTATCATTTTCTTGTTAGTGTTAGAATATTATCATCTACTTTTTAGAAATTTTCTTACAATTTGTTTTTTGTTACTTGCTGCTGATAGTGGTAAAATAGCCTGTTTATTACTTTTAGCACCTTTTTGTTGTTGTTTTTGGTACCTGGGATTGAACTCAGGGACACTCAACTATTGAGCCACATCCCAATTATTATTTTGTATTTTATTTAGAGACAGGGCCTCACTGAGTTGCTAAGGCTAACTTTGAATTCTCAATCCTCCAGCCTCAGCCTCCCAAGTCACTGGATTATAGGCATGCACCACTGCATCTGACCAACGTTTAGCACCTTTGACTTTTATGTCAGCATAGGATAGATTATAGAAACACCTTGACTTTTTCTAGTTCTACAATCTTTCCTAGTTTGAAAGAAAACCATTTTATTAACATTGCAACATTGCAGTGTTCATTCGTTCTCTCTCTCTCTCTCTCTCTCTCTCTCTCTCTCTCTTTGTTTCTATGTCTGTAGTACTATAAAATAAATATTCTTGATCAGATTGCTTTTCTGTGACTTCTGTAAGACAAAATATTTAAATGGTATTCATTTTTCTCCCATGCTGGTTTTTGAAGTATAACTTTTGTTGTCACTTAAGCTGTATAAAAGAGTTTTATACAGTAAATAAAATAAAAAATAAAAATTACAATAAAAATTTATCTGATTTGATTTTCTCATTTTCTTTGACATATCTTTTTTTCAGTAAACTAGTTGTTGGTTAACTCCTTAAAGGAATGAGTTGCTAAATTTTGAAACAAATTTTGTAAATAAGTTATAAAGTAAACATTTGGTACTATATTTTCTGAGGTTGATTCTACTATGAAAACTGTGAATAGAATCTTATTTCTTTTCTCACCATGCAGAAAAAGTATGTTTCTAGACATCAGATTTCAAAGTTGTTGTGACTTTACTAATAAGGCATGTTTTGGAAGATAGGCTATTTTTGTTTATCTATATCACTTCTCCTCTGACTCTTTTCCCCAAGGAGAATCCTATGTAATTTTGCCCTTAGTTTTATTTACTTGTAAGTTATGGGCTCAGTTATTTAAAACTGAAGAAATTCACAATTTTGCTTCTCTCTTTTTTGGTTAAAGTAGTACAAAATGTCAAAAATTAGGAGGAAGGTCACGGTGGAAAATACCAAGACCATCTCTGATAGCACATCTCGAAGACCCAGTGTATTTGAGAGGCTTGGACCAAGCACTGGCAGTACAGCAGAGGTGAGTTGTCTGTCACTAGTAGTCCCAGAGTTTCTATTAGAATCCTGCTATAGAAAATTCTGATCAGTATCATAGAGGTGGAAGATTGTTTTATTATAGGAATGTTAGTTTAATAAATGTTGCTTAATGTTCTTTATAAAAAGGAGTGGAAAAAGTGGTTGCATTTATGTTTTTTTTCGTTTTGTAAATTTTTTATCATTAGGGGAGTAATATATCATAGATTAGCTGTAATTTTGATAGTATTTGTTTTAGTTTTGTCCTGTTAGCATCTTCAGAAATAAATATGAAATTTACATAGTAATATTTGTCTTTTAGACACAGTGCCGTAACTGGCTGAAGACTGGCAACTGCCTCTATGGAAACACGTGTAGATTCGTACATGGCCCTTCACCTCGTGGTAAAGGTTATAGCAGCAATTATAGAAGGTAAATGAAGGAATTTGAATGTTAGACATTGGCTTTTGCAGTTCATCTAGTATAAAAATCTGAAGTAAAACCATATAATTGGTCATATTTTCTAATTTGGTTGTAGTCTTGTCAATATTCAAAGATCAAAATAATTTATTAGTTATTTTTTATATTAATAAGATTTTACCTTTAAAATTAGCATATATGCTTAGTATTTACATGTTTTGACAGTAGATCTTTTTGTAATAAATATATAGCTTACTTTTTCCCCTAAATATGTATTAAATTTCTGTTTAAGAGAGAATTCCATATTAAAACTTAAATAGGGGAATGCCCAACCCCTTATCACAATATGCTAATGTAAATGAAACGATGTGTTTACTTGTACATAATAAACATCCTCCCTTTTTAGAACATCATTTTGCAGTTAATAGAGGCTTGGCTAAATTGAATTTGCTTAATGAAGACCTTTTATTTATTTATTTTTCAATTCCCTCATGATTTTGTAATGATGTTTATAGAGGTAGTATACTTACAGATTGTCACAAAAACAACTTAAATTTGATTGATAAATAATTTACCTAGTACTAAAATTAGGTATGCTGATTGTTTGGCTGCAGCAGTAGTATAAAAACCATATATTAGCAATTGTAGATTTTCTTTTAATTGGGTGTTTGTGTGTATAGATTTTGAAGTTTAGTGGAATTTAAAATTCAGACTCTTGACATTAGTTTATTATTCGCTTAAACACTATACATTTTAGCTTCTTTGTTGCTGAATACTCTTTTTATTTGTATTTAGATTGTCATTTGTCACTCCTTAATGGGAAAATTAGTCTTTATTATGTATGTTTAATTACCTACAATTATATACATAAACACATCTAGGGAAACTGTTTTAATAATTTTATGTTTTGTTTATATTAATACCACACTTTTAATACTTACTTTAACTTGTCTGAAATTTATTATTACCTAACTCAAATTTAGTGTTAGCTGACTCAGAATTTTTACATATGAGATAGTTTTGAGGAACATGGAGATATTTATCTAAAAGAGAAAAAGTAATATTATTACTAGATTTAGAATAAAGAATTTGTTGTTATAATTGTGCTACTTTGTATGTATTTTCTATCTGATAACTTCTTCAATATTTGTGTATTTTTATGCTTTTATTTATTTTTTGGTAGGGAAGAAAAATGTAGTTCATAATGTGATTCAAAGATGGGAAGAAGAGCTATGTATTTAAGAAAATGCTATCTCTGGATAAGACATTTAGGTCATTCATTGAGTCTTCATTGTGTATTTAGCATTCATTCTGTTAGATTCTGTATAAAATAGAAATAAGTACATAATACTTTTTTATTAATTATATAAGGGAAACCAGGCCCATAAGCTTTAGATCTATGCCATAATTATAATTTAGGGCATTTAAGTACTGGTTCCAGTTTCAAGTTCAGTTTTAACTGTTAAGAATTTTATATAGTATTAAATGTACATACAAGTATCAGTGACATTCTTTAAAGTGAATCATCTCAAATTATTTAGTAACCATTTCATTTGTATTAATAATTGATAAATTGAGTAAATTAATTAATCATTTATTACCTGAAATAGATATGAATATTGGTATGATTTGCTCATATTTATGCATATATACATACAGGTATTTCTGTAGCATTTTTTTCATGGTCAAAGAGGCACAGTGCATTCCTTAACTTCTATTACCCTCTCCCAAAGTTATTGAAGTCACCTTTTTTTTCCATTTATCCTTTCTCTTCTAGTTAGTAGTAGTGTGAAATAATTTCATAGTCATGTACTGTCAAATTCCCAGTACAAATTATGAAGACTTGCCATTGTTGGATATAAATATGTGTAATTTCTCTTCAATTAAAAATCCATATAGTATGAAATCACTGTTCTAAAATTTTGCTTTGAATTCTTTATTTTTTATTCTGAAATATTTTATTTTTCTATTTTTTAATTTTTGGGTCTAAGGATTTAACCTAGGGGTATGTTGCTACTGAGTCACATCCCAAGCCCTTTTTATTTTTTATATTGAGATAGGGTCTCACTAAGAGTTGCCCAGGGGCTCACTAAGTTTCTGAGGCTGGTGTCGAACTTGCGATCCTCCTGCCTCAGCCTTTTGATTCGCTGGACAGGTGTGTGGCACTATGCCTAGCTTATTCTGATTTTATATTTTAAAATTTAAAAAAATTCCCAGAGTTATCAAAAAACTTATATATTTACTTTAATTTTTAAACTATATAAAATACTTTTGTATTTTGTTAATATTGTATCCAATCACGTACATATGTAGATGATAATGCTGTTGCCTCGATAACTATAATTTTGTGACTTTATAGCTTAAAACTCTTTTTGCTTCCAAATATGACTAATATATTTATGTTATTAATAATTAAAGAAGTCAAGCTATTAATCACATATTCATTTTTTCTCAGTTCACATATGGTTTCTTATTCATATCACCAGTACCTGCCATCCCATTGAATTTTTAAAAAATATTTTTAGTTGTAGATGGACACAATACCTTTATTTTATTTATGTATTTTTATGTGGTGCTGGGAATCATGTATTTTATGTGGTGCTGCCACATACATGTGAGGCAATAACCACTGAGCCATAACGCCTACCCACCCACCCCATTGAATTTTAACATACACATTTGATTTATATTGTAAGAAAATTTGTGTTGCTCTCAAGTTTATACATATTCATATTTTTTTAAAAAGACAGAGAGAGGGAGAGAGAATGTTAATATTTATTTATTAGTTCTCGGCGGACACAACATCTTTGTTTGTATGTGGTGCTGAGGATCGAACCGGGCTGCACGCATGCCAGGCGAGCGCGCTACCGCTTGAGCCATATCCCCAGCCCAACATATTCATATTTAAGCTGAAACAACAGCAACAACAAAGAGGCTACATCATTTTACATTTTTGACAGCAGATCATGAGGATTGTGATTTCTTTACCAATTAACTACTAATAACTGTTTTTCAGAAATCGAGGAGCCAAGGACTATTAGAAAAATTATATTGAAATTTATGAGGTTATTTTTAGAAATACATACTCACAAAATGTTACATAAATACAAATTTTTGGTTTTTGTATTGTTTTGTGTTTTGATACAAAGGTCCCCAGAAAGACCCACAGGAGATCTCAGAGAAAGAATGAAGAACAAGCGCCAAGATATGGATGCTGAACCCCAGAAACGAAATACTGAGGAGTCATCCTCACCTGTTAGGGTAGGAATGAGTTTCCCAAAACCCAGTTAAATTTTAGTAGTGATTTATTCTTTTGAATACTGTTTCAAATGTTATGATATATGTTAAATATATGGTAAATAAATAGATATAAATAATTAGGTATTATTATGTTCTATATACTTAATGGAATTTAGAGGGGAAATAGTCTCTGCAAAAACTGTTTGTTTTGTTTGTTTTTTCCTGATTGTTACGATGAAAGGTGTTGACTGGCAGAGCTCAAGCTGAACTTCATAAGGTTTTGTACATTGGTGGGGATTGTATCTAAATAAATTCTTAAGTTTTCAGAATTCTGCTATATTTTGCTTCCAATAAAAATTGAAGTAACTTACAGTGGAACACATAAACTAAAACAATGAAAGCAGAGCAGGAGGTTAACAAAAACTGAACTGGAAAGTTTAGGTGAAGAAACGCATATGGGACCACAAAATTTAGCTGTGAGTTTGTTGTCAGTAAAGCCAAATAAGGATATAATTTACAATGTTGTTCACCTTAAAAAAAAAAAAAAAAAGTTTGTTAGGAATGAGAATATTTCCCAGAGGATATTTCCTATTGTTTTTCAAGAAATTTATCATCCTTAATTCTGTGTTTATGTTTGTAACTGATTTGTAGAGAAATGGTTTTAATAGTCATGTAGCTATTACCATAATCAGTTTTTATTACTCTGAAGAGAAATCTCATATCTTTTAGAGTCACCCTTCTTGTTACTTATTGACCACCAGCCTAAGGCAATCACCCTTTCCTCTTTATATAGATATTCCTATCCTGGACATTTTACATAAATGGAATCAAATATGCAGTCTTATGTGACCAGCTTCTTTCACTTAGCATGTTTTCAAGGTTCATGAAAGATTATAGGATACATCAGTATTTTATTCCTTGTTTTTACCAAATAATATTACAATATTATGTTGTATTTATATGCCACATTTGGTTTATTCATTTATCATTTGATGGATATTTAAGTTGTTTCTGCTTTTTTGGCTCTTATGCATAATGCTGCTAAGAACATTTGTGTATTAATTTTTGTGTGAACATATGTTTTCATTTCTTCTGGATTTATACAAAGGAGTGAAATTACTGAGTCATATGGTAACTCCACGTGTAGCCTTTTGAAGAACTGCTAGGCTGTTTTATCAAGAGGCTGCACCAAAGCTGGGTGTAGTGTTGTGTGCCTATACTCCTAGCACTTAGGAGGCTGAGGCAAGAATCCAGGAGTTTAAAAACCAGCCTTGGGAACATAGTGAGACCCACCCCCTAACCTAAAAAAAGAAAGAAAAGAGGCTACACCATTTTATATTTTTAACAGCAGAGTATGAGGATTGCAGTTTCTCCTCATCTTTATCAACAAGTATTATTATCTGACATTTAAAATATAGCCACCCTCATGGATATGAAGTGATAATCTATGTGTTTTTGATTTGCCTTATAGCTAATGTTGGTTGAACATCTTTTCATGTGCGTATTAACAATTTTGTATCTTCAGAGATCCTTTGTTCATTTAAAAAATTGGATTGCCTTTATTAGTGAATTTTAAGTGTTCATTATATTTTAAATATAAGTCCCTTATCATATATATGACTTGGCAAATGTTTTCTCCCATTCTGTGTGTTGTCTTCATATTTTTTAAACATTTTTTAGCTGTTGATGTACCTTTACTTTGTATTCATTTATGTGTTGTGTTGAGGATGGAACCTGGTGCCTCACACAGGGTAGGCAAGGGCTCTGCCATTTTTCTCTAATGTAAATTGAGTTAAAGCTCTGAGCCACAACCCCAGCCCCTTATATTCTTTTTTAAAGTAGTTTTGCTATAGAACTGAACCCCTGGGCTCTGGTGATTCTCATGCCTCAGCCTCCCAAGTAGCTGGAACTGCAGGCACTTGCCATCATACCCAGCTGTCTTCTCATTCTTATATGTCCTTTAAAGCACAAAAGTTTTTAATTTAATGAAATCCAACTTAATCTGTTTTGTTGTTGTTGCTTGTGCTTTTGTTGTAATTAAAAAAAAACATTTCTAATCTAAGATCACAAAGATTTATATTATGTTTTCTTCAAACAATTTTATAGTTATAGCTTTTAAATTTAAGTCTTTGGTACATTTTGTGCTAATTTTTAAATATAGGAAGGGTCCATCTTCATTCTTGTACAAGTGGATATTCAGTTATCCCACATTATAATTTTTTTAATGAAAGCTATTGAGTTGTATAAGCAGCAACCTCTTGGATAGTTTCAGATACATAGACGTGTTCTATCATCGTTATTATTATTATTTTGTGGTGCTGGAATTGAACCTAATCCTTATGCATACAAAGTACACACTCTACTACTAAGCCGCATCCCTAGCCCTGACTCCAAGATATATAGAAGCTTTCTGTGATTATTTTTGATCCATAATTTAAAAAATAAACAAAAAAGCTTTAATATTTTCATATAAAGATTTTCTGGTATCTAAAATAATGCAATTTAAATTATGTAGATTTCTTAACACCTTGTGTGATACAATAGTACAGTTTTAGAAATCTTAAATAATAATGTCCAGAAAGGTATTAAATTCCTTAAGAGGGGAGATCATTTTCAGAACACATATTTTGACATTCTATCCTTAATCCATGAAATCACTATTTGTGGGTTAGGCATTAGGCTTGTGTATTGTATTTTGAAATAATATATAGATTTAAAATAATGGATGAACTTTCTGGACCGTTGGTAAATGTTTAAAAACTACGTAGAGGAAAGCCATGCCTTGTAGTATTTATAAATTTCTTTGGTGTAAATACTCCCATAATGGTCAATTTGAAGTTATCAGAGAGATATCACTGAATGCGTAATTGGGAAAAGAGGCTAAGTATCACACTATTAATGTAATAAATACTGTATTCCCACTATCTATATTAGATATATGCACACACACAATGTAAATAATCTGAAGAGTAAAATATATTACAATATTCAAGAAATGAATTCTGAGTAATTAACTACCTTTGTTTTTAATATAATTTGTTATTTATAATTTAATTTTTAATCATGACTTTTTAATCATGGCTAAAAATTTAAGTCAGCTCTTACAAATTAGTACAAACTGCCTCTAGCATATTACTGGATTAACTTGATTAGCATAAGGGACAGAGACATCTGGAATTTGTACTTTGAGCGTTTATTTTGGGCATTGTTGTTTAAACTCAATATTGTCAGTTTCCTTACCTATAAAATGGTGGTTTTGGCTTTGTCAATGTGTTGTTGTGAAGAAAATGTATGTAAAACAACATGGTTGACTATACAATGTTGACTATTTAATAAATGGCATATATTGATATTAAAGTGGCTTTTAGATTTTTCTCTAATGTAAATTGACTTAAAGCTCTTGATAGAGGATGAATGTGAGCATTGGAGATGTAGGTTGTTAATGTGTATCTAAATATAAATGTATTTTGTAACATAAAGGCATATATTGTTCACCATATCAAATTATTAGAGGGCAAGATAGGTGTTTTGCTAAGACATTTAAAGCTGGATTCATGCTTTTCCTAGATAAGAAATTCCTCAAAGACATCAGATTTCTGTGTGTATCTAAGGGATAGTTAAGAGTTTGAGGAGTAATCAGGTTTTAGGAATTCACAGTCTAAATATACAGAAAACTGTTTATAAACTAGAATACCAGCATTTCAGTTTTTGGACATGCTGTGTATAGCAGATTAACAGGCACTTTCCATTTTCATGGTGCATTTATTTTGCAGCACATGCGACTGTTGATCTTCATGTGATGAATTCCTTTAGGAAGATCAGATTTATTTTAGGTAAAGATAGCAGTGGCATAGATAATATAGGCATAGCTGAGATGGGATGCATGTGATTTTCAGCAAGTTAACTATAATCTCACCCCTTCTGTGTTACTGATTCAAGTCTGATATGTCTAAATTATGAGGTTGATAGATAACCTCTGATTTTGTAAGGAGACAAATTCGTGAATAAATAAATTAAAATTCTGTAGCATATGTTAGTATGCCAGAGAAGTATTAGCAAAATGCACAATGGAGAGAATAAATAATTACTTGAAAACCAGGGAGCACTACTCAGAGGGAACTGACATTTGCCCTGGGTATTAAAGGATAGATAGGTGAATGGAGGTGGCAAGGAAGAGGAAACCCTGATACAATAATGGAGTTTTGAAGGACTAATGTGTTTGAGAAACCCTGAAGCTGTTTGCCTAGGGTTTAGTACTATAGTATATGGATGTAAAATGAGGGAAGAAGAAGTAGTCCGGATTGTGGCTGGTTTTGTGTGTCATGCTAATGGTTTGACAATAGAGAAAAGAAATTTATATGCTAGGAGATCTGTCTTATTCACCAATTTACTTTCATTCAGAGCCTGGAACTAGTAAGGTGACTTGATGAAAAGAGGTTCTGATGTACCCCCAGATTTGAGAACCTCTAGTGGTCTAGGATCTGTGATGTCCATGGTGGCTAGTCTGAATTGAGATGTACCATAATTGCAAAATACACACTGAATTTCAGAGATGTAGTATGAAAAGAAAACAAAATACCTCATTTTTTTATATTGGATTATATGTTGAAATGTCAGTAGTTTGGATCTATTGGATTAAATAAAATATATTATTAACATTTGGCTGTTGTTGAGATGCTGGTGACTGAACCCAGAACCTCCTAGATTCTAGGCAAGCACTCTACTACTGGACTACATCTCCAACCCTTTATAAATTTTATTTTGAGACAGGATCTCTTAAGTTCCCAGAATGGCTTTGAACTTTCAATTCTTCTGCCTCAGCCTCCTGAGTAGCTGGGTTTATAGGTATGTTCCACAATGCCTGGCTTTATTATCAATATTTTAATTTTACCTGTTCTATTTTTCTTTTTAACGTGGTAATGAAAAATGTAAAGTCACCTGTGCATTTATATTACATATTTGTATTGGAAAGGGCTACTCTAGTTGATACGAACAGAACTTAACATAATGGACCTAACCTT